TTGTAGCAAACGAATAAACGCATGAGAATATATAATTAAATATCAGACACTTGCTATTACTCTTATCAATCTATTTAATGAAGTTTTCCTTAAAAAGTGTAATAACAGGATAAAATAATGAAATCTATAAATATTTATTGGCGTTTTATTAAAAAAGTACAAAGTAAATAATAAATAATGTGTTGAACTTTTTTTCATAGTAAAGTTGTACAGATTATTATAATGAACAATAAATCACTATTTTATTAATTTTAATTATGAATTTTTTCCTGTAAATTATCAAAATTTGTTAATTAATCCTTTATAAAATTATTTTACATAAAAAAATATAATTGATTTTGAAGAAAACTCACATAACCATACAATGATCATTTTCTATATAAAGAAGAAAGAATAAAATACATAAAGTCACACATAATTTTTTCTTTAAGCTAATATAAGGAAAAAAAGCAAACTCAAATCAAATTAAGCCTTGAGACAAAACACTCTTTTATCGCACTTTAGAAATGATATCAATAATTCTGAAATTTCTAATTTACAAAATTAATACAACAGATAATTTCATTTATGTCTAAAAATATCTAAGACATACGATACTTAATTATCTAGTCTCGTTAATAATTATATATGCAATGAATATAGAATTCCTTTTTATAATAAAATATATAAGGAGATGAGCTTATTTTTTTATAAATTATTAAATAATCAATTTAAATATTTTTCCTTTTTTTCTGGCACTTCGTGAATCGCTCAAACTTGATTGAATAAACATTTATAAGTCAAACAAATAACCAATTTTAGAATTTTTGTTATAAATCATTATCACTATTTGGACAGTTACAATAAATCGATAATCAAGTTTCGTATGTATTTACATATTATTCGACTTACAGTATTTCTTTTTCAGATCCAGAGATAGATATGTTCAAAACTGAAATTTATCTGTCGGCGCAGTCTCCGTTACATTAAATTCAAGATGCCCATCAGCATTCTCTTTAGAAGTAAGTGTTGCTTCTTCACCATCCTAAAAAAACATTTTTTTTAAAGAGAAAGTAAAAAGAAATTTTTATTGCATTTATAATTCATACACATCATGGCTATAAAACAGAAATCTCAAAATTTTAATGCACAAAATTAATCTATTAGGATAAAAAATAGATCTAAAGCACAAAAAACTAAACTAGACAAAATAGAAGTCGTCACTGATTATTTTCTATAAGTTATTATTACATTAGTTAACTTATTACACTAGTTTTGGTTTGTAAACAAAATGTTATGTATTACAAACCTTTTCGGAGAAAAATGTATCAATCATAGCCATAGATTTTTGATAAACTTGTTCATTCTGATGATGTTGCAGAAGCTCTAATTTATCTAATCCTCCACATTCTTCAATCATCATAGCAAGTCGATCCACTTCTCCCATTTTTTGAGCAGCATGCAAAATATTCGTTAAGCCATCTAAGACGACAATAATAATATTCCAATCTTTTGTTTCCAATAAATTGCAGAAAGGTGTCAATACACCCGCCTGTACTAACTGAGCCAAATTTTGGATTGTCCCACCCGATGTCAGATTAGTTATAGCCCATGCAACCTCTTTTTGTGCTTTATAATCCCCCTAGGAAAATATATCAACATTTATTAATAAAATTCTCTTTCAAAAGTTTGTTGAAATAATTCTCTTGGCTGATTATTTCCTTATTTTCTATGCATAAACACACTTACAAAATGAAGAACCTCTATCAATACTGGTATCAAACCAGCATTTATCACATGTTGAATCTGATCCATGTTACCAGCTGTAATATTACTGATCGCCCAAGCAGCTTCCTTCACGATATTAGGACGTTGATGTCGCAACAAAGCACCAAGATGTGCTAATCCTCCCGCAGAAATTACAGCATCCGTTTGAAGATCATTACCTGTTACTATATTCCCAACTGCACGCAATGCTGGAGTAAGGACAGTTCCTTCTTTTGATGTCAACAAATTTACGAGTTTAGGTACAATGCCAGTTTCTAATACCGCTTGTATTTTGTCATTGGAACCATCAGTAAGATAAGAAAGTGCCCAACAAGTATCAGCTAAACATAAATAACAACATAAATACCTTCTTCAGATATAGAGTTCACTAGTATAATGCAAATATAATGCAATAAAACATGCAAATGTTTTACCAAGCACATCTGTATCTGTATTGCTAAGTAGACGATGAAATACTGGGAGAGCAGGTTTGATCAAATCAAAGGGTGGAGGTGGATTCTTATTTCGACACAAATTAGATAAAGTCCAAACAATGTTGCGCATGAATGTCACCTGTTATTGAAAATATTATTAAAATGTATTAATGTATTAGAAAAAAAAAAAAAAAAACAAGATTTCAAAGATAAGAGAAAGTCAATCCTGTGATATTCTTTGATATTTTTTGATTTTCGTTTGATATTCTTTTCTTTTAGCTATTAATATATATTTTTTCTAAGTTAAAATTTTTTTTGCATTATTCTTTCATTAGTATTTAGGTAATAATACTAATACTGTTAAAGTGAGCAAATCAAAGTAAAAGATGAAACACGCAATATAAGAACAAAAGTTTTAGAGAAAAAAAGTCATAAAATAAAGAAAATTGATATTTGATAGTGCTATATATGTCAAATATATTACATACGGAAGCATCAGGTTTAATTAACTCAAGTAAAAGATTTAGAGCGTCGTGTCTAAGAATAAAATCGCGCGCATGTGGTCCATCTCCAGCTATATTTCCCAAAGCCCATACTGCTTGTTCTCTAACATAAGGTGACGTGGACTTGAGTAGTTTCACCAACTTTGGTACAGCTCCATTCTTTATAACACTTTGTGTTTGTTCGGATGTACCCGAAGCTATATTTGTTAATACCCATGCTGCTTCAAACTGCAAGCGAATGCTAAGCACAAAAATAAGAAAATTATTTTTACATTAATACACAAAAATCAGCTATTACACATATACATACTTATGATCGCAATCCAAGAGCTCAATGCAACGTGGTACTATGCCACGCTGTATAATATCATTGATAGGAGGATCTTTTTCTCGACTTAATAACTTTCGACAAGACTGTGTCGCTATCATTTGTGTTGTTTCATCTGATGATTTTATACCTTCTACGATTTCATCTATAGAAAGTTGAGGCATAGGGGGAACAAAATTTTGGTCCCATACAGTTAATAAATCTTCTTCAGTATCAAGGTTACGTCTCTTTAATAACTGATCATCTTTTTTCGCTTTACGTAACTCTACTGACAATGCATTCCTTCTTCTTCGTGCTTCCTGAAAGATATATATATATGTCAAACATTTTATGTATAAAATGTTGAATCAAATAGTTAAAATATTCTTATGTACTCTACATAAAGAATGAAAACAAAGTTGAATAAGATTTTAATATTGTTGAAATAGCAATGAAATCAAGAGGTTATATTTTAATGTTGCTATTTTAAAACCTTTTGAATATTTAAGATACACAAATTTAGAGAATAATTTTCTTCACTTACTTCATGTCTATTGGTAAATTTAAATTCTGCCATACGCCCATGGCCTTGTTTTTCTCGAGAAGGCATCTTTTCGTCGCTGTACATAAATGGACTGAATATATTTCGATTTTTTTCGAAGTTATAGTTGGCTCTGCTGTTTATAATACCAGTAAAAAAAATATAAAATAACAAGATAATAATGATGCAACATATTTAAAAGGAATAAACCGGGCAAAATACATGTGAAAAGGTCATGAATTTTTACGAATTTTATACAGATTCGTAGATGATTTAAAAACTACATTTCATTTTCAAATTTATCCTAATCATAACGGTTACAGGCGAATGATTGCACGTGTCTTTTGTATGAATCTTTTTAATACAGGGAAAAAACAACTTGCATTGAACATGATTAATATGTTACCTGTATACAGATTGCCGAGAGAAATTGCAATTTGAAATGTATCCTCCCTAAGCCAAATCACAGTACGATTAAATCGCAAATTCGCATATAACTTTCTCAATTCCCTTCGTTCGTCCTTCTGGTAATAAAGAGCATTCATACGACCTGTTGCTACTGTCAAAGATAAAAAAGAAAGAGATATATTGCTGTTTACAATTTGTCTCCCGAGAGAATCGTCAGCCATTCGATATGGATTCGCGCAATTTGATTGGTGGACAATATTCCAACGTTTAGATTTCAAATTGTGAAGTGACCCTGTGAGATATATATTTACATACTTTAAATAAAAAATTACGCTTTATTACAAAATTGAAATAATATCACAAATTTAGTATAATTCCAATATTAAAAAATATGGCCAATTATATTGAACTCAATTAAAATTCAATGATTTTTTATCTTTATCCCTTTATTGTGTACTTCTTTATCTATCAGCCAAAGAAATTTAATTAAATTTTACACACATATATGTACACTATATTGTTCATATATAATATCGACTCATATTTATAAATATATATAATTATATATATTACATATATCTATATATAATCTCTTTCGCTTATATGTTTATGCAGAAGAAATAAAAATAAGTGAAAAATCATTTAAAAATACTTTTCACTTTTTTTAAAAACAATAAAGTTTGCAATTGGATTATTATAAACTTTATTTTCCTAAAAAAAAGATAAAAATCATTTTTCTAATTACTTTTCTTATATGAAAAAGAATACATGAATATATTCTACATATAATTATATATATTTTTATATGATTATATATAATATATACTATGGACAATTTTTTTCCTTGGTATATATATAAATTATAGAAATATATATTCAATATTACAAATATCATTTAATTAACGATTTTATATTTTAATATTAAATTTGTCAAGAAAATACCTTATGTGCTTAGTATAATACTTTATTAAAATGTGATGCATTCTTTAATAATTTATAAAAATACAATATACACAGTACAGAAATTCTATACTATTAAATTCTAACAATAGTAACCAATGTTAAGAAATATATAATATTTAATATTTATTATTACATTGTGTATCAATTAATTCAGTCCATATTCAGTCCACAATTCAAGTAGCGCAATATATTAGGTACATATTATATGGAATTAAGTATATCATTTGTAATATACAAAAGATATTTCATAATATTGTATTGTCTTGTATATATTATAGAATTTATAATCTTTAATAGCTTAATATTTATCTCTTACAAAATGAGTTGAGTATAACCCGCACATTAAATATTATGTGATGAAAGTGTCAGAGAAGGCACTGTAAAATTTAAATAATATTTATATAACAAACTTTGATACAAAAAAAAATGATTGTTTTTCTCATGTAATACAAGATTCCACTGTCTTTTTGACGGCATCACGAGCATACGGTATATATGACAAGGAATACCATGTCATAGCTAGTGACTGAATAATTATAAATAAGAGAGCTAAACCAGGATTGTGCAACTGAAAATAGAAATATATTATAAACATTTTCAGAAAGATATTAATAATAGGAAATAGAAAATACTTACATATAAAGCTGCAAATAATGTCAAAGCAATAGTGGTAAACACTAATATAGTTGCAATCAATCTTGTTGACGCAAACATCTTCTTAAGTTGATTGAATGGACCCATTAAGAAACATGTGCTGCAACACAGAAATTAACATATTGAATATTTAATATAAATAATATGAAATGATCTAATATCATTGTTGTAATAATATCAATGTAGCATACACTCTGTTATTACCAAAGTGTAAGAATCATACAATTGTGTAAATATAATTTGCATTTTACCTTGCTAAAGAAATAATATTGCCTAGAGTGTAGAATACAGCAAATACAGCGAGGCCTTTCTGTAAGAACAGCGCAAAGGATCCAAGAAACGAACATAATATGCCTACAATGAAGCAAATTGCAAAACCTTTTATCCTGGTAGACCAACTTAATGTCGTTTGATCCATAACCTATGTCAAACAGAGAAAAATATTAATCTTCTAAAATTTTTCATATAAAATAACAACTCATTATAATTATATGTAATGTATGCAGATGTTGCAAGTATATATAAAATATATATATACTTGTAGCAATGCTTTATTAATTTACCGTGAAATCCGTATCAACCTTCCATCGTTGATCAGATGTAAGCATTTAAAATAATAATTTTTATAAGTTTATGTTTATATAGAAATGTATATATCAAACTGGATTTTCATAGAAATAATATATAAAAAAAGTAATTATAATTAATGCAGCCAGTACTGATACTATAAGAAATGTAATTACCTGTGTAATAATACCACTCTCCTCATCGCATCGTTCATTGCCATTTAGGGCTCTTCTCAATTTATCCATTTTTTTAATTCAATAATGACAACGAATTATGTAATTATTTTCTCCAAAACTGAAATATCGAATTCATCAACATAAATTTACTGATATTATTCAATATAAGGTTATAAATACGAGGTTATATAGTTGAACGAAACATTTGCGTTTCCTTAACAAACTTCGAATTACACGTGTCACTTTGATTTATCGAGCAAATAATCTATACATATGAATTTTTAATTGTGGAAATTACATGCGCTGTTATATTTTGTATATACGTGTCTCGTTTACTTTCGTAAGAGGTGTGTTTGCTATGTAATTTGAAGACACTTTTCAACTCTCATAAGGAGAAAAAATAACTGGAAAAATTTGCATTGACGATGTTCTAGACAAGGGTCGAGCGGAGAAAGGGGAGATATTAATTTACGATTTACGTCATTATATTACACACAATCTGCGAAACAAAGAGATAATCATTTCTCTATATATAACTTGATGACAAATTTCTCCAAAATATTTAAGAGAAATATATATGTGTATATAAATTCTTGTACAAGAAAATGAGCATAATTCCATATATGGATCTATTTTATATATATACATAAATTAATTCTTTAATTATTTTAACCCTCTTGGTTTAAACTAATTAATGTTGTTAATTATAAATTAAATAATATGAAATAGTAATAGTATATATATATATTTTCTGTAGAGATTTTAATATGTATATTTGACAAATTAATCCATAAAAAATTATATTACATGTATTCACAATTATAGGTTCATTTCGTTAAAAAAAAAAAAATAAAATAAAATAAAAAATAAAAAAAACTGTAAAAAATAAATTGATAAAATTGATTAAAGGAAAATGTTAAAAAAACATTTTTCAATATTATATATATTTTTTTAAAGTTGAAAAAGAAATAGAAATAGGTATATAATGACAGAAATATGCGAAATACTAACCCAATTTGTGCCAGTATTAAGCATCAGATATACTCATTAGCGGTGTTAATTATCAATGTTAATTAGCGATGCTAAAATAATAATTAATTATCAATAATAAAATATAAATAACTATTGTACAGTGTCACAAACAGACTGATAGGTTAGGAATTTGGCGGGCTACAGGCTGCAGACGCACGATAGTTTCGGTCGCTACCGCTACGTTGCGCAACGAAACAAGCGATTCTCGTACGTGAAATTTCTCAAATAGGGTATATAAGACGTTTCGAATCGTTGCAAGGCATCGCTTCTCGGCTCTCTGAGCTAAGATCAAAGTGTAGTATCTGTTCTTATCAGCTTAATATCTGATACAATCCCCATAGGGGATTCAGAATATTAAACTGATTTTTGGAACCGGGCGGGTGACCGGAGCTTGCTCCGACTCTGCCGCGGGTCGGCCTGGCATTGCAGTACCGCTAGGAACGGCCTAATAAATTATCCAAAAAATAATTCGTTAGCTAAATTAATAACTAGAATTTTAAACCGCACAAAATAGTAAAGATAGTATTATACGTTGTTCGGTAATAACGAAAAAAATCGATATCCGGCTACGCGTATATAAATCTAATAGCAGTACTCAGACATTTTAGTAGTATTATTTTATTAATTTTATATTAATTTTATTTTGAAATATCGTATACGTTTGTGAATTATATTCAGACTGGAAGTGTGGGACAATATTTCAAAATACAAAAATTCTCAAATACTGTATACACATATTGTTCCTTGCTTTTATATTATCATAAAAAAATATTAGTTATTAATATTTGCTACGCGCGCGAAAGCTCTCATTTTTTATCTTTGACTACTATAATTTATATAAATTTCTGATTTACTTAAAAATGATTTACTTGTGTGATTTGCTATGTATTAATATATATTATAAAAAATATATTGTAAAAAGATTTATTGCACATATATCTATACATAATTCATGTTTAAAAAATATATTTGTTTAAATATAATAATTAAAATCTAGAGATGTAATTTATTGTAATGTGTTTTCAAGTAACAGCAATCTGAGATCATAAACCTGTAAAACAAAGATATATATGTATATAATGTGTGTGTACACGTTTATAACTATTATAAAATAATTGATAATAGTTAAAATTTAGTATGTTAATTAACATTAATAGCTATGTTTGTAAATTAATAATTATAAATTTGTTATTTTTCTTACCTATACAGTAACACTGTTAAGGGAATAGTACTGGCATGCCATAAAGAATGAGCATCGAAGATCCAAAAGATAGGAGGAAAATCTGCCAATTCTAACAGAGTCACAAATACGACCAATGTATTAAACCAACCGATTAAGTACACATGAGACAACTTGTGATTAAAATACCACCACAGCATTGTTATCGCAAAGGTTGTCAAACCTTAAATCATAACAATTTCATGTTTAAAATAATTTAGTATAATTATTTAATATATATTATATTTAATATAATTATTTTACTATTAACTAACAATGTAAAATTTACCTATTGTTATATTAAGCATCATATTATAACCATAATTAATTTTGCCTGACCACAAGTGTGATAAATGTATACATAAAATACTTAGATATCCGCAAGTTATTATAACAAATGCTCTATTCTTCTTGTATGTTATCCTAAAAAATAATCAACACATATATTAAATTTAACATTATATATTGCAGACTAAATTTTTGTATATTTCTTAAATATTATATATTATTATAAAATTAATTTAAAATGTTCCATAGTTTTGAAGATTGTGGACAAAAAGAATGAAGCTATTGCATGTTACCTTAAAAGCATGCAATATAACAGTGTAAGTACCATACTGAATGCGCAAGAATAGTCCATGGCTTCTGTAAATGGTCTATCTCGTGAATGAAATACAGTGGACCAAAACCATCCATTCAAGCATATCTGTAATAAAACTATAGATTAGTTTGAAGAGTGCTGATTGTTAAAAGTCATACATAGAAAGATTAATATGACTAGAATTACAAAAATTGACAAATATCATTGCAGAACAATGGACAGTTTTCTTGAAAAAAAATATATTACCTATAAGATGCATTAATTTGCAGAATTTTAAAATGTAAAGTTATTTTTTATTTATGACTTTGGTTATCAAATTGGAATTTTCCTTAAAACGAATTTGAAGCTGATATTTGTTATCTATTGTTAATTATGATTAAGCTTTTTGGCTGTAATTATAATTTAAATCTAAGGTGAAAAGTCTATTATATGTGAGACACTCTTGAATATACTTACAATACTGAAATATTTCCAAACATAAAACATAGGGTTGGTTCTATCTGCTCTTCTTTTAAATTTTTGATACATTGACCAATGTGCATAAAAATTTAATACAGAGAATAAAACTGAGGCAGGTTCCTGACATCCAAATAGACGGATAAATGGCCACTACAAATGTGAGAATGACTCTTGTATTATATATATAAATAGAATATAGAAAAATAGAAAATAGAAATATAGAAAAATAGAATGTTATAAATGCTGTAAGAGCAAAATTTTGTGCAAGATTAACATATACAGAAATCAAGATATTACACGAAAAAGATTTTATATAAATTTATTTTATAGAAATAAATATTCTTCTATGTGTGGTTGTACTACATATTTTTGTTTCCTCAGACTATTAATGTTTACACTCAAGTTTTGTTATATGTATAACAAACCATATATGATAAATATTTTTCTGTAATGTTTCAATTTTCTGTATAACATGATTCTTCATTATAGCATTTAAATATATTCTTATAAAATTATATAGTTTTACATTTTACTTACTTTTCCATGGAACTGTGGTATTTTTAAACCATGAGATACAAAAGAGTCAACGGTCCTCCATGTGCAAGTATAACTGCAATCTTCTTTGCAGGACCAATGTAGCAAAATTAATGATAAAGGAGGTTGTTCCTTAAAAGTTGTTTCTACAACATGTTGTAAATATATCTAATTAAAAACTATATCAAATATAATTATCTCTAAATTCTTCTCTGTATTATCGGATGTACAGAAAATATTTTTATATGTAGAAAAGAATATACATAGCTAAAGCAACAAAACTTTATAAATTTGATATATTTTCAGTAAATTTTATATAATATACACACACACACACACACATATATATATATATATATATATATATATGCAAAATAAAATTTTTTTCTTCCAATCGATAAATTGTTAAATACTTTGAATATATTAAGACTTTAATTATAACACTAATTTAAATATTAATTAACCATAACAACGAGAAAAAAAAGTACAAAATCAATTGTTACCATTTTTGCAATTCCTAGTGAGACACGATGCCAGACATTGCCTGTATATTTGTGATTTGTCACCTATTGAACCAACCGTATTTCCAAATAGAAAGACTGGAAAAATTAACAGAAGGATCCATGCCGACTTTGACATGCCAATACGTCAAAATCATAACCTAACCAAATTGAAACTGACAGCAATCCCTGAAAACTGCTATTGTAAGCACGTAGAATCGCAATGCGCATGCGTTGCAGTATATTGCGATATTTTCTCTCTCTCTCTTTTAAAATGATGCTATGTTCATGTGTGTGGAAGAAGATAAAGAGAAGCAGATTCGAGGAAGAGGAGGGGAAAAATTTCACGCATGAAATATACAATATGCGTCATTCTTGATGATCATTTTTAGCACGAGAACGTGAGATTACGGCAAATAGTAAGGATTCTATCAAGAAGGAAGATTGGTATTTTGTCAAAAACGCGAGGAAGGGAATACCAGATGATTCGCGCGGCCGTTTAGAGAGACAAAGAGAGTGAGAGTGAGAATAATGAGATATGCGCTTAGGAATAATTGAGGAGATGCGTAGGGGCGCGATAGAAGGATAGAGAGAAACACCTGTTGGCTAGCTGTCAACCGAGTCGGCCCACCTGTCAAACGCGATGGCCCACCTGTTCAAGAACCTCAGCAACAGTATTTGGCATGCGTTTCACGCACTGCAGGCCGATGATGTCAACACAGTGGCAAAGTCGAAGTTGAAGGTAAATTTTTTAGAAGAAAATTTGCCGAAAGAACCTCCAGCTCAGGCTACATCGCCTGACGATTCCTGTCAGATCTTATATCACACATTTTATTTTTATATCAGATATGTATCCTCTCACAATCTGATCTGCCCACAGGTGTTGACAGCCAATATCGGTACATTGATGGATTTATATGGTGTGGAGAAAGGTCTAGAACATTATCGGAGTACACTGAGCTTGACATTTGATCAGTATATGTATTATTTACAGAAAGAGGTAAGGCATTTTCTAACAAAAAAATCATCAAGATTATTTTTAGATGCATAATATTTTAGAGAATAAATGTTTTTCTTTTATTTTTTCAAGTTATTTTATATTTTTCTCTTTTAATATTTGGTTTAAAATATTAGTTTTATCTTTACTGCATTCA